AGGTAATTAAAAGTCAGGTTTATGTATTAAATTCCTTTTTATGTGTAGTCTAAGAGTTGTGATCCACATGGGATGGGGAAACAACCCTCATTGAATGGAAAGATGGTAATAGGGGGGTTATTCTAGGACAGTGGTTCTCAACCTTTTTTGTACCAGGACCCATTTGTAAACAATGAAGGCAAGTCCCAACCCAGTAAGTGGTTTAAGTAGAAAACAGCCCCCTGGCCCTACCAGTGCCTCTCACTCCTGGCCTGCTGTCCCCCACCCCCAGGCCCCAGCCCCAAAGCATGTGGGGCAGGGGTTGGGTGTGGGGGGTGCTTGGTTTGGGGCCTGGGGGGGGACTTGACCAGTCTGCAGGGAAAATCCACAGTTTCCCATGTTTTTCTCCTTTAAAGGAGAATTAATTTAAAGTTTGTTCACAACCTTTTCATATATTCTTGCAACCCACTTTTTGGGTCGTGACCCATAGGTTGAGAAATGCTGTTCTAGGAGACCTGAAAATGGAACAACTGATTTGTTCCATTTTCAATATTTCCAGCTTCCTTCTCTAAGTTGGTGATTAGTTTCTAGGAGCTGCACACAGGTGTTTGTATGAATTGACTCATATGCTGTTAGGTGGTTATAAAACATATCTACCACCTCTCTAGATATAGGCATTTGCAATGCAGTGACAGGTTCCTGAAAACTCACCATCCAATGCTATTTTTAAACTGTGGGTAACAATTCCCAGGCTCCTGGGGCCCAGATCAGTAAGGTTCACTGAGCATATGACTTTACCACAATGACAATCTTTCCACTTTCCTCTGACTTGCTTAGAGCCTCAGATTTGGTATCACATTTACCAGGCTGTAATTTCAAGGCTTGTTTTAATATGGAAGTCTCACGGGTTAAACTAACAAAATGATGCTGCACTGATTTTAGCTAAACAGGCACAACAGTATGTGTAGCCACAGTTCTGCATAAGTTTAGTGAGCTAATTATTTAGCAAAGGTAAATCCATGGAAGAGTATCAAGAGGTATGCTGGTTTAACTCAGCTGGTACAACATGAGTTAGCTAAGTAGATGCAACTGTATTACGCCAGGACTGTCCAACTTCTAAGTAGTCATATCTGCATGCCCCACTGGCCACACCAGCACAAGCCATGGATCCCCTGCCCTGAACTGCACACCACATAGGTGCCACCAGCTTCACCTGGGCCTGAAGGTGCTCCCCTGTGTGCCCTGAGCCACATGTTCCCTTGGCACTGCAGGCCATACTATGCCCATCAGCCTGACGTCCATCCCCGGGAAGATGTTGGAGAAAATCATCGAAGGGACCATTCTTGACAAACTGGCTGAAGGCAACTGCTTGAGGGATAGCCAGCATGGGTTTGTTGCGGGTAGGTCTTGCCTGACCATTCTCATCTCCTTGTACAACCAGGTGACACATCACCTGGACAAGGGAGAAGATATTGATGTCATGTATCTCAACTTTAAAAAAGCTTTCTATCTGGTATCCCATGATCATCTCATAGAAAAACTGGCCAACCACAGCCTCGGCTGCATCACAGTCTGCTGGCTGAGGAATTGGCTTCAAGGTAGGATCCAGAGAGTGGTAGTTGATGGAAGTGGTGCACCTTGACCAGTGGGGTCCCCCAACGCTCCGTCCTTGGGCCTGTCCTTTTCAACATTTTCATTAATGGTGTGGACATTGGTGTCAGGAGTGGACTGACCAAGTTCGCCGATGACACCAAACTTTGTGGTAAAGCGTCCACACCCGAGGACAGGATGGTGATCCAGGCCGACCTTGACAGGCTCAGAAAATGGACAGATGAAAACCTGATGGCCTTCGACTCCAAAAAATGCAAGGTACTCCACCTCAGGAAGAAAAACCCACAGCATGCTTATAGGCTCAGCAGTGCTGTGCTTCCTAATACCATGGCTGAAAGGGACTTGGGGGTCACGACTGACCACAAGATGAATATGAGCCACCAATGTGATGTTGCAGCCGGCAAAGCAAGCAAAACTCTGGCTTGCATCCATAGATGCTTCACTAGCAAATGCCAGGATGTCATCCTCCTGCTGTATTCAGCCTTGGTGAGGCCGCAGCTGGAGTACTGTATCCAATTCTGGGCTCCACAATTCAAAAAGGATGTGGAAAAGCTTGAGAGAATCTACAGGAGAGCCACACACATGATCAGAGGTCAGGAAAACAGGCCTTATGATGAGAGGCTGAGAGCTACAGGACTCTTCAGTCTGAAAAAGCGCAGGCTCAGGGGGCTCCTGGTGGCTGCCTATAAGTATGTAAGGGGTGTACATCAGGATCTGGGGGAACACCTATTCACCAGAGCGCCCCATGGGATGACAAGGTCAAGCGGTCACAAACTTCTCCAAGACCATTTCAGACTGGTCATAAGGAAGAACTTCTTTACAGTCCAGGCCCCCAAGACCTGGAACCGACTGCTACCAGAGGTGGTGCAAGCACCTACTGTGGATTCCTTTAAGAGTCAATTGGATGTTTATCTTGATGGGATCCTGTGACCCCAGCTGACTTCCTGCCCCTGGGGCAGGGGGCTAGACTCAATGATCTTCCAAGGTCCCTTCCAGCCCAAATGTCTATGAAATCTATGCCACACTGCACCACCTCTGGAATCTGAAGGAGGAAGTAGAAGCTGGAGGAGGCAGGTGAAACCCAGAGAATGATGAAGGGGAGCATCCTTCGGCTGGGAGCCCAGGGGCTGTAAATTAACTCTTCCTGGACTGCAAGCACCCCATAGACCACCAGTTGGACAGCCCTGTTATAGACAAAGCCTCAGTATTCTGGAAAGGATATTCAGAGCTTTAGAAAAATGTTGCCTGTGGGTTAAATGTTTGGAATGAAAGTATTCAGCTGAGAACGTGCAGAGATGCTGCTTAATGGCTTGGCTGCATCACAGGATCTGGCTTTCCCCAGCTTTACTGAAAGGCTGGGAAGCTCTTAATCCTACTTTATTCCCAGCCCTCTACACAGCCTGGATGCACACGAGGGGAGCAGGACAGCAAAGAGGAAACTGACCTTAAAAATATTCTCCTAGAAAACTTGTCTTAAGGATAACAAGCCCATTCTTTTTCTTTGCAGTTCACCCTTAACCGCAAATTGCTTCTACAATTAAAGGAGGTCAATATGTGGGAGGAACTGGTGACAGAGAAAACAAACTTTCCCTCAGGTGACTCCATGAGGATCAGGTAGCCACAACAGCTGTCTCTATCTTTTTCCCTTTGTACCCTAACATGAGGGCAAGCTACTACTCCAAACCTCTCTGCAATGCTTGCTGCCCCTTTACCACAAAGAGAGGCTGTCATCCAGGACAATATAAAGACAAACTTCTGTATAATCTCCATTTAGCAGAGGTCCCATCTGCTACCCACCACTGGCTTTGGAGTCCTCTGGGGCTAGCACAGGTTCAGCTAGGGCTTTGCAGCAATTGGATGCAATTTTAATTCTTGCCAACTGGTTTCCTCCGTCAGCTCCTTAATCTGAGCATAGGATTGAGTGACAGCTCTACTCCTCAACTGAACTTCAGCTCAGATCCTCATTTCAGCTAAAGCTTCCCTCATGTTTATAGCATAGCTGGCTTTGAAAGGAAGAGACAGAAGCAACAAGGCCTTCAGCTTGGTTTACATACACAAATAATATAAATTCTCTTTCAGTTGGTAAACCTGGCAAACAGCAGCTGCTTCTAATTTTAGAAGACAAGCTACTCTCAAACCATTTTTGGAAGGCTGGAGGGTCCCTCTCCCAGTCCCTGGGATTTGGAGAGGGGCTGGAGAAGGGTAGGGACTGGCAAACCAGCTTGATCTTTTGTTCTTTACTCCCTGTAACTATGATGCCCAAAGGGTTTTCCTAAACATAAGCTACGCTACTCTAGCCACTGCTATAGTTCTAGTACAGTCCTTGATGTGGATGTAGTAACAACAGTATATGGCTTCTTACAGGAGTGTAGTTTATTCTCACACAGGAAAGAAAATGGACTCTGTTGGTATGACTGTGACCACACTAACTGTACTGCTATTATTATTTGAATTAACAAATCACACCCCTCTCCCCAAGGAGTTTCTCCAGTACAAAAATGATATCAGGCCTGCTCATCCAGACTGTTTCCAAAATTCAACTTTTACTTAGTCAAATAGCTACTTTGAGACTAACAAGGCCCATTTTATTTTTATGTATGCTTTCCAAATGATCTCAAGCTGAATGTCAAAGGTGGTGATGCAGTGGAATTTAGGCTTCTGTGAACTGAATCACATGCTGCTGATTGTGAAATACATCTACCCCCTCTCTGGATACAGACATTAGCTTAACCCCTCTCAGAGCTGCAAGTACTTGTAGAAGTCAGACGTGAGGTTAGAGAAGTGCTAACCACAACTGGGCCTGCTCTCTCTCTTGTGCGTGTGTAGAATGCTTCAAGGCAGCCTGGTGATAACAAATGTGTAGAAACAACCTACAGCCAAACTCATCCTGGGCTTCATCGAGACTGCCTGCGCAGAGTAGTTGCTGAAATGTTGAGACTTGCAAAGGTCTTTGTTGCATCAGTCAGTGCCCCAACAGAAACACTGCAGATACAGTGCTGCTCAAGCTGCCTTTCATGCCAGAAGCCTGACCTCTGTGTAGTAGGTATCTCAGGATGGTTTTCTGTAAACGAGTGCTAGCACCAGTGTCCCAGCTAAATTCCAGGGTTGCTACATCATGCCTCTCTCCACTTTTCTGTAGGGCATGGCATTGATTCTCAGCCCCTGTACATGCACTAGTGGCAGGAAATGGACAAAAAATATGCTCCCTGAATTGATCTAAAACAGGGTTGTTCAACTGGCAGCCTGTTGTGGGCATTAAACAGCAGCCTCCAACCTCCCACCCAGCTACTGCTCCCACTATTGCTTCAGCTTCAGGTTCCCCCTTCCTCCTGCCTCCACCCAAGGGCCAGGGCAGTACAACTGAACACAGCCTTTGGTACTAGGGAAACCAGCTGCCTGGGGTGCCCTGCTGGTGTAGCTCTTCCTAATGTCCTCCAAGGGGGTATGTGGTCCCCAGCTCCTTTATTTTAGTTGGAAAGCCCTGATCTAAAATATCAAAAAGTCCATTGAAATGGTACTGCTGGATTGTGATAGCAATACACGAAGTCCCTGAGACTGGTTGATGTAATAGGTTCAGTCCTAAAATAGGAAAATATCCTTTACTTGTCCAGTGCACCTTTCAGAGAGCTGCTTAATTTTCGTTCTGGTAGTGAATAAAGTGATGCTGGTTCCTCTACACCTGTAACATTTTTTAGGGTCTAAACCATTCTAAAACTGAATTATTCTGTTAACCTTACAACTGGCTTAGTTCAGTATAGATCAAAATACTGATATACAGCCATATGAGAAAATTGGCCACAGGTTTCATAGTTTCATAGTTAGGAGGGTTGGAAGGGACCCGAGCAGATCATCAAGTCCGACCCCGTGCCATGGCAGGAA